TTCCCCGCGGGACCCCGCCGCCCGCCTCCGCCACCACCTCCTCATCCTCCTCCTCCGCCGCTACATCACAGACCCGCCATCTTATTATTATTATCCTCTCCTCGCCTCCTCACACCCACCCACCACCACTCACACTCACTCTCTTTCTTCTCTCCATCTATCTCTCTCTGCGTCTACCTCCCCTGTCTTACTCGCTCGCACTCCCCAATGTACGTGTCCTTGTCTCCTCGCCGTCTTCGTATTCCATCATCTTCATTCATTTGTCTTACATCACAATAGCAATCACGATTACTCATATAACAACAATTTCAATGGAAGAAATAAAATGGGAGATACTTTATAGCAACGTTGCTTCGACCATAAACACCGACGTCAAGTACAAAAAACAGCTTCGCCCATAGTAAAACGGAATACAATTCGATTTCACTTCATTGTTATTATAGGGAATTTATCAATTAGAGAAACCCAATTTGTGCAGAGGCTGTCCAAAGGTAGAGCTCCTCGAATTATTGTATCCCCATACATGCACATGTGTGTTTAGCATGCGATGCATAAATTGAAATTGCATAATGCTAGGTGGTATTTAAATTGCGCTGGATGATGAAGAAGATCGTCCTCTTCTTCTTCATCATCTTCTTCGCTGTAGGTGCACGCTGGATGCGAGGCGGTGGTAGGAATATTAACATGCAATTTACATCTGATCTGAAGCGCATTCTTGTACTTTATGCTACATATCGGGGGTCATCTCTTTTAAGGTCACGGAGGGCACGTCCACCCACCAGACGTTAGCCTAACAACAGGTGTGAAACTTTTCCTAACACACGTACTCGATTTGTGAGGCACGTTACCAACGGACACACTCTATTTTCCTAATCGTGTTTGTTATCTTCAGATCTTTCGGCGTTACCATACGGAATAGCTGCAGGATTTTACCTGTGTACAACCACGAGAAAGAACTAAGCAAAATCGAGGTACCCAAGCCCTTTCACAGTTGTTTAATCACAAAATATTAGACAACAATATTTATTTATAATCATGGAATAAAGAGTATTACAGTTTATACAACGGAATTTCAGATACTAACAATTATATAACTTAGTTAAAAAAAATACTAAGATGCATCACCTTGGTATAAGTAAACTATATGTATGTTTACACAATTTTTTCTTTAAAATGTAGCATAGTCATACTTTTAGTTAATAGTACAATGTATATTATTTAACACAATTAAACATAATAATATATTTCTACCATTGATACTTCATTTTTGTCCATTTTTTTTTATTAAATTTGTCTTCTAACACTTAGTTATATTAATAATATACAGAATCTATATAAACAAGCTATTAACTGCAGTATTTCCGCCCTTAATGATGTTAATATACTAATTTTTACTTATTTTAAATTATTTATGAATGATCTTGGATTAAGGTTAAGAGATGCGATTTATAAAATAATTTGACAATTTGAAGAGTAATTAAATACTTTTATTGCACAGGAAATAATTTAAGTTAAAAATGTATAAGTTATTTCATTTTAATTAAGGATGTCGTTGATAAATGAACTTGGCTGCTGCCGTTAAATACAGTTACTTATTACGGTTCGCAACAATGGAAATATTTTTTTTTAAACACAAGTCAATTTTAAATGTTGAATCATACAGTAAATACATAATAAATCATATACTTTCATCTTATACATTTCATCTTAATAATAATAAAAATCTTTATTACTCACCAATTGTAACCAAAGGGCTATCGACCTAAGTCTTTCCGCCAATTTCATGTTATATTTCTTATCATCCAATATATATATGTATAATTTTCTCCATTCTATAATTAAGTGTATAGTTTCCATTATTATATAACTAAATTCAACATTATATTTTATATTAATTCTTCATAATTTTTATTATATAACAATATCAAGTACAGTAAAATTGTATACAATAAATTTTACTTATTAGTCGTTTTTATTTAGATTATACTAGCATTGAAATTTGTAGCATTATCCTGTTGCTAGTTTGCGTATATTTTCAATGTAAATCAATCCTAATCAATTTACATCAAAAATATTTTATGTGATACATTTTTATGTATCAAAAATGTTGTAAACACCTCAACAAAAGTTTTATTAAAGTAGAGAATCTAGTTAATCTTATCTAGCCATGATCATCGTTTTTTTTTTCGATAAACAAGTACATTGATTTAAGTTGACAAGAAAGTTTGTAATTGCTAAACTACCAACTTTAAGTGAATTATCGAAGCTAGCGGAATTGTGCACAAGCTAAGTGAAGGGATTGTAGGTTAAAAAGAAGAAGAAGATCGTAGTAGATTGTGATATAATTTCAGCGAAAAAGTGTTAAGGTATAAAAATAGATAATAATCATATTTATTGCTGGTTTCAATTATATAAAGAGTTAATGACTGCCAGAAATTTGTAACATTGTTAAATTCGCTACAAAGCAAGAACTTTGCGGCATGGCGTGTAATTTGTGAGTTGTGTGTGTTGTTAACTTGTTGAATATATTTTGACGTAAAACCGTTGAAGGTTGGTGTGAATTGATGCAATTTACGAGCCCCCCACTTTGTCCCCTCTAAATTGACTCTTTATAACTTTATTTTTTGTTTCGTTCAATCAAAAAAAATCGAAAATTAAACAAACGTTTACGACGCAGCTCCGTGTGAACTTCCGCGAACGATTGAACAAATAAAAAAGGCTTTTAACACTTGGACGATTTGGGGAAGGCAATTGGGCGTGCAGACATTTATAATTGTCTACAACATTTCTCTAAATTTTCGAAAATATTTTATTGATTGAACCATACAGACTACTACGCCCCTCTTTATCCGTCTGTTTATTTTTTTTTTCCTTTTTCGTCTGTGGGAGACTTGTGGACAAGTGTTTTCCCGAGGAATAAATTTCGTCGCGGTTTCTGGTTCCGTCAGGTGGGGCTGCAGGAAAGTCGTTACGTTCTCGTGCCTTTTTCGTTGCTGTTGTTTTCTTCTTCAACCCCCTTTTGCACGGAAAAGCATTATCGTTACTTTAGCTTCGGCTTTTAATTGATCGTACGCGCGTTATATAACCTCTCTGAGAATGCTGCGATCCCCATAAAACCGGAGCCAATTTTATGGGCAATATTTCGCTCGAGCTTTATGCGCACCGCGCAAAAAGCTTATTAATTAAATACACTGCTTTATCGGAATTCTCCTTCTTATTGTTAATTACTTGTAAGAAGCTTTCGGAATAGATGAGCACATGCGCAAAACTCAACGAACTATGAAACTTAACCTTCGATGCAGTTCAATATAATGATAAGATGTGAATTGCAAATTATATTCTCAACCTACACTACGTAAATCGAAGTTATACTATCATACGTCGCTTAGTACTAGTAATTGGTTTCATCAATATCTCGGACTGTTTGAAACCGGATTAATCGAGATTAAAGTTCTCACTAAAATACATAATATACTCAAATCTCCTGGGAGAACCCATCATTTATTTATAAACAATAATTTAGTGTATTAATAATAATAAAGAATTTTTTTTATACCTACATGTAAAATGCTATTGACTACAGTTTTCCGCCCTAAGTTTACTATTTTCTTAGAATTTGTTTTCAATTTTACAAATCGGATTATCCGGACTATGCGAGGTATTTCTGTACTTTACATTTGTTTTTATTTTGTTAATACTAATTGATATTTTTTATATGTTTGTGTAACTACATCATTTTCCAATCATTAATCTTTGTCTCTAGTACTTCTAACATAATTATAGTGCAAAACAGGAAATGTAAGTAAACTAGTAAAATATTTATAAACCATCATTCTTAATGCTTTTTCTCTATGAAATACATGATGTTCATCTTATGTACTAATTACTTTGTAATAACTAAAAACATTATTTTACTGGACCATTGCTGATGTTTATTTTTATTACAAATAAAATGTCTCTTAATTTCATTAATAATGCATTTTGCAAGCAGAGATTATTCTTAATTATTTAATTAGAAATTAGAAACTTGACATAAAACTTCAATTACCAGAAAATCAGAGATAATCAGAGACAATCCAATTTTGACCTCACCTTCTGTTATTTTCATCTGTTTCGGAATATATTTAAATATGAACTATGATGATTAAAGTGAAGATTGAAAGTGAATAGTTTTGAAATAAATATTGTACGACAAAAACTTAATTATATGTTAGAAGTCGCATAAATTGTATATTATTATTATTACTTGACATACTTATATTTGCTTTGGGTGCATTTTAAACATTGTATAAGTAGAATGTACTTAAGAAATCTGAATATAGCGTGTATTGGAATCAATAATTTGTGTTTAAATATGTAACACTTTTTTCTTTTGAAATGCTAAGAAATTTGAATATACATTAAACATTTGATAAATACAACTCCTAAAATGCAAAAATCCATATTAGAAACTTTCTATAAGAGAAAAAGCAAAATTATCTTAAGTTTAAAGAATTTTATATAATATTAGATTCAAGCAATTGATTGAAGCAGTGAATACAGACTGATCAAAGCCGCACTATGAGAGGTATAATTGTAATCATTAAAAAAAACATTCATAGGGCTATAAAAAATTACATTTTTATAGATTTATTTATTAGTTGAGAGTAAATTTAACTAATTTAAATGTACTTTCATCAGGTCCGTTTTATCCCTTATACACTTTAGGCACAATAGGCATTGGATCTACAAAGATATATTGGAATAAAGAATGCATATTATGTTGTTAAGTTTTATGAAGGGACTAGAAGATGATCTGATGTCTACGACTACGTTATTGCAATAAATAAATAAACCAATTTAAAGAATGCAATGATTACAAGTAAATAAATGTTTGTGCCAAATATGTAAATAGATTGTTTATAAAACAGAATTGTGTGTGTTTTTGCCAACACAAAAGTACGCATTTATGTATAAATATATGTGCTTGTCTACTCTCATCGCATAAACATAGAATAGATTGTTGCAGGTAGACCGTTTGAAAAGATGGGTCTATCAAAAATATCATTGTTTTATCCATTTATCTGGTGTCTGATACTTTTAATTTGTAAGGAGAGCAGTAAGTGAATTGTAATTTGCAGTTTCCAACGAAGTGAAAAATATACAAATTTCAGATGCAAATTGCGAAATGAGCATCGACAATATCCGATTGCCCAATGTTTTGAATTATGGTAACAAGACTTATTTCATTGATTTAAACAAGAAGGTGAGTATACTAAATTTGCATTATAAAATTGTATACAAATTTTAATCAATGAATCTTTTGCGCAGTTGAATTGGATCAACGCAAACTTGGCTTGTAAGCAATACAATATGGAATTGTTAACGATTGACACAGATGAAGAATTTGATTTTATCGACATACATATATGTAACAATAATTAATTGTAATGTGCGAATATTTTATAAATTTCTAAATATTTTTTATAGCAAAAATGGAAAATAATATTCAAATTTGGACGTCTGGTACAGATTTAGGAGCGGAAGGAGCTTATAAGTGGATGAGCAATGGTCGTAAGATATGTTCCAATAGATGGCACAAAAATCAACCGGACAATGCTGGTTCCGCCGAACATTGCATCCAATTTTTAAAACACGAAAGTGCAATTTTGTTGAACGACAATAAATGTGATATTACCATAGGATACATCTGCCAAAGCATCGCTAAAACATATTGCGAAAAACAAAATTACTTACAGTCATGTTAATTTGAAAACAAAACTTTTACAATTATACAATATAATATGTTTGTTTTTATTATTTTAGAATCATCTGGAGCTAATAAAATAATAATATTTAAGTTTATATTTCCCAATTTTTTTTGTGCGTTTGTAAGTTAAAATTGATTTGAGTTGATTTCTGCCTTTGTAATACTAATGTCACATTGTAAATAATTAGTTTTTTTTAACAAAAAATCGTCTATCGGGAACGGACTTTTGTTATTAACTACAAAAATATAAACGATATAATAAAACTTAATTATTTTTACTTATTACTTAGTATAGCAGAGATTTTTCAATTATTTTAAAACGGGAAATATAATTTTAATGGTTTCGCAGTTGATATTGCAAAATCAACACTGTTTAAAATCAATTTTAATTTTCTTATAGTGTTATTTTGTTGATTTGTATTATGGTAATTTATTGCAACAAATGTAATTATTATTTTTAAAATGAATGTAATATTTTTTTTATAATTAATCTTAGTTTTATTAGATTTTTACGCATATTTTCGGACAGAAAGAGTAATATTTAGGGAAATAATCATTCATAAACATACAAAAAAAAATGTATTTATATAATCGTATCAAAATAAAAAATAATAAACTATTACAATTTTATTTAATTTATACGTTATATGTATAAGAATAACTTAATATATTTTCTTTTAATAAAATAATAATAATATTGATATAACATCGAAATTATAGTTCAAACCGCTTATAAATTTTATAAAGTCGCAATGGGAATTATTGACAGGAATGATAGAACCAGATAAATAAGAAACTAAGCATAAATATAAGCACCGAGATTTAAATGTTAAGTGTATTATGGATTTCCATGCTGAAACAGGACGAGATACGAATTTCTCCAGTTTGCATTTGGTTTGGTGGTGCTAAAGGTGTGATTATGTAAAAGTCGTGTTTTTGCAACGGACAATATCAATAGAAAGTAATCTAATTACTGTCCATGCAAGCGCCGATTATATAAGAGCGCGCGCGCGCGTTCGCACTTTTCCGTTCTTTATCTATCGCCTGTTCAAATGTTATGTTGCATTTCCTTTCCACCTCATCGTGATTCATTCAATTCAATCTTAAAATTATTTATTTAATTATTAGATTACCTTACATTTGGATTGCCAAATGTTCACAAAGTTTCTAAATAAGATTTTTTCAAAATCACAGATTTTCGTTTAATTTGCAATATAATTGCAAAATCAAACAGTTGATTGCATAATCTTATATATTTGCTACACAATAATTTTCAATACTTTTATTTCTTGAACATTGAAGGTAATTTCAGTGATTTAATTTTTTATTTATAACTAATATGTTTGGAATATAAATCTCTTTTATATATCTATTTGTATATTTTATAATAGGTTTTTTTAATTGATATTAGAGATGTAGACAACGAGAGATTTCTAAGATGTCAATTAAAACTTTAAGCTAGATTTAAAGGTTTGAAAGATTATTTGGTTTACATATACGTTTCCTAAGTAGATATAAGCCTATCTTTGTACTACTGCTACTATTTCTATTGCAATCCTTTCTATTTACAGGTGTTTCTGTATCCATTTTTGTAGTACAATGGAGCGCCAAAGATTTTTATTAGTCTTGGAATGGAACATGTTAAAAATATTTTAGTATTTGACAATAAGAGAGTTTTCTAATTCTATATTGATAAAATATGGTTTCGTTTAATTTGATACTTAAACTGATACTATTTGATAAATATCTTTATGTTTATTCGCTTCATCACATTGAAATTTTCTTAAATAACTGCTACTATATAGTCAATTTGACCTTTCCACTTTTTCAAATCTAAATTTCGCGGTAAACTGTATAGTTGTGTTTTCTTCTGTTATACATAATAATTTTTTTAAGATATTATAATATTTTGTTTCATCCCGGTCAATTTGACCGTAAAATTACTTTTGTCGTGTGTAAAAGAATATAAAGGATTACATTTTTGCATAATATGACAAAATCTCTTTGTTTACATTGTTCAAGATATATTTGCAGGAAATGTATTTGAATTTGACCATTTCTAATTTTGTATCTATGATTCTGTAGATTTGTCAATAAATAATATAGGTTTTAAGGCTTGCTATGTTTTTTTATTTTAAGGGTGTCATTTTGTCTGTTATATATCAAAATGTTTTAAGGTAAAGTTTTAGATATAATTATTAATAATGTCGTTTAGAATTAATTATTTTTACAGTCGGTCAGTTTAACTTTATTCTAGTGTTAGCGTGCCTAAATCAGCAAAGTAGCTGTTACTGGTAAATATACAATCGTATTGTACGAACAGAGTTTTTCTTTTCTTTAAGATCTAACTCGAGGTATGACTGTATAGTGAAGAGTAGTGAATGAAAACGTTCAACTGATTAAATTAAATCATATTTAGATATGTTTTTAAAACAAGATGTGCTGCATATTTGCTCTGTGAATTATCTCGCCATATAGACGTTAATGACAACAATTTTCTAAACGCAACAACAACAACAGTAAGAACAACACAATGAGTTCAACTGCAAAATTACACTATATACTACGTACGTACATAGCAGTAGAGCATTGTGTTGTGTTGATCCTCTCTACCGTGACAGCTCGTGCCGACTAAGTAATTAATAAATAATCTCCACAATCTCTGCCATCTTCTAACAACTCGTGCCTTTTTTCTCTCTCTTCCTTTCTTTCAGCTCCTCTAACGCTCCGACCATTTGTTCTTTCTTCTTTTCCATCATCTTCTCCACATTCATTTATCTTCAATTCGTACGGCCGCCAACGCCGACAATTCCTTCCGAAAGAGAAAGAAGAAAGAGAGATCCGCGTTTCATAATCTGAATTTCTGCTCGAAATAATTGCACCGCTAATGTCGCTTCTCCTTTCGAGGATTTTTCAAATCAATTATATTCTAATCATCATTACAATAAAACGAAAATAAATGACAAAAGCGCTCAAGGAATCTGGCTCGAACGAAACTAACGCCGAAGGAATTCCAATTAAATTAAAGAACTCGGTCACTTTACGTACTGAACTATAAGACATTTTCTATTTTTTTTGTATATAAATATTTTCTTTCAAATTCATTGTTAGTCTTTTATTATATTATTAATCATGTTGTAACTATATAATTATGCAGTCCTCAGTAAAAGTGTATTGTAATTAATGTTTGTTGAAGCCGCAGTTGCATATTTGCGATGAAAGTAGTTTAATTAATGGTATTTAATTTATTTAAAACAGGAGATAGAAAATGTTCAATTATTTTTGATGGGTGCTAAAAATAGAGATGCAGTCATGTGGTTTATTGCGATTAACGTGAAACGAGTATGAAAAGTAGACGAAATGTAATGGCAAGTGAAGATTGGAGACTGATTAAGTAAAAAAAATACGAGGTAAAAGTAACTTAACGAGGATTTGTACAAGATGAGGAACGTTGTAGCTATGTGTCTTTATGTTAAGATTATAATCCGGAAGTGAGTGAGAGAGATGTTCTAGTTCTATATATTGTATATTGTATATAGATATATGTGGTGGGTTGAAGAGGGATAACAGAAGCAAAAGGAGTAAAATGAGTAGAATTTGTACGTACATGCATGCGAAATGTGCATAATGATGTGGTGGTATGGTCGTGGCATGTGTGTCAGGTTAAAGGTCTTTAGACCAGTCAGCCTTAAGCTGACTGACTACATTTGAGAGACATAAATTCATTTACCTACAGCTTTTACTTCGATAATGCCGGAGATAAAAATTTTACGTCAACTAAGTAAGTGCACTAGGAAAGACCGAGTGAGCTGCTGCTATCTCTTTCTCTCCGCGCTCCACAATGTATTTATAATATAACAGACCTTCCAGCAACGATAAATCTCTCCATCGCTGACATTTTATCTTCTAACATTTACTCTCTTTGTTGCGTTGCTACGAATATTCTAATTCTGCGGAAATTAAAACGATACTCTGATTCTTTTTTTGGTGCTATTACAGATAAAACACGTAATACATTCGCATCTTGTTGTTGCAAACAGTTATTTTATATTTCTATCATTTTATTTGTTCGGTAAGAATGAGAATGCTCGTAATATAGGAGTGGTCTCATCGGCCGAAAATTTATTTGAATTTTATGTGCATGCGATTACGTGATGGCCACCCCCACCGAAAGTTCCGCTGGACGAGCACAGGAATACGATTAAAAATTTTGTTAACTTTTCGCGTTTTGTTATTTTAATTCAGCCGCATTGTCTCCTTTCTAACGCGCTCCTCTCTACATGCATATATCCTCTCGCACGTTGAATGTAGTTCCTGCATCGGATAAGCAAAAGGATTTTATTGCAGCTCGGTTCATCTCATTGTAGTTCCGGGTTTCCTTTGCTGTAACGTTCACACCTCTGCAGAGAATTAACTGTATTAGAACGCCATCTATCAAGTACTTAATGTATCACAGATCATGAAAGTTAAAAAAATAACACGATTAGTCAAAGAAACAAGTAATATCGGTTAACGCAGGGATTCCCAAATTTGAGCCGCGGCGCCGTTACTCTGCTACAGGAGCGCCGAGAAAATTAAAGAAAAACTACTATTAACATAAAGTTCGTCCTGAGATAGACCAGTATTTTGACATGGGGCGCCGCGAGTTATCCTGAGTTATCGGATGAACGAATTCAAAGTCGATATAGTCAGTCAGAAGAAAATCCAATAAATACAATAAAAATCAATTCAGTAAAAAGATATTCCTATAGAATAAACTGGATCTGCCAATGTAACAGGTAGCTAAAGGTCTTCAAAGTTGCTAGTTTGTTATGAAGTTAACCTTTCATAAATACAGGCCTTCTCTTATCCATTGAAATAATACTATTATAGCATAAATATGACTTTTCAAGGTACAAAGATAAAGGACTTTGAAGCCCATATGTAAACATGAGGTATACCTTCCAGAAATCAGTAAAAGTATACTTCTGTAAAACAAACATGATTTGCCAAAGTACCAAGTTTAAAAACACAAGACTTAAGAACTTTGAAGTCGATAGTAAGATATGAAGTGAACCTTCTAATAAATGCAG